GTTGAATAAAGCATGATTATAAATCACCGGCGTTTATTAACCCGGCCTGGCTTTCGACTATAAGTCGCCAGTATGATGATAAATTATCCAGTGTTTATTAACCCGGACTGGTTTGGGATTATAACTTGCCAGTATATATTTGGAATGCGCCATTGGAATCATGCGCTCATAAATCATTGGACTATATTATTCAAATCTTCAAATAGCCAACATGGCTGGGATTTTATTATGGTTATCAGTAACCAGTATTATGATTAAGGTTTTTAAAGTCGCTTTAGCGCAATGGCTGTTATATTATCAATGGATATGATTTATTCTATAATTGAAGGAATAGTCCCGAGCCGCTGCAGGTTTACGACTCCGCACTTGGGGGCTACATTATTCAAGTTGAGATTACATCAAATATCTAAGTCCCATGTCACTGTCAGCATGCACCATGGCACTTGGGGGCTAATGCAAAGTCATTTTTTGCTCATTGAAGACCCGACTCATCACATCATAATGAGTCAGCACTTGGGGACTACCAATTGCTCCTATCAATGATCCAAGGTACACAAATCTTAATCCGTTATATTCAAGGGTCCGCTGCTCAGTTGGTAAAACACAAAGCTCTTAACCTTGTGGACGTGGGTTCAAGCCCCATGGTGGAATTACATCATATGATGTTATTTTCAATAAAGCATGATTATATTTATAAAGTCCCTGCTCATTATTGCATAATGACCTGGCCCTTGGGGGCTACACTGGTTGAAGTTTTTTGAGCATCAGGCAATTATAAGTCCCAGGTTGCTGCAAGCATGACAACCCGACACTTGGGGGCTATAGATAATATGGATATAGGGGAGAAAAATCTTCAAATTCTTAGTTTTGAATAAACCAGATTGACCCGGCGTCATCAATAACCATGACCTGGCGTCATCAATAATCATGAACCAGCGTTGACAGCAATCATGACATGGAATTATCAGTTTTTATAACCCGCCAATTTTGGAAATCATAGCTTGGCAAGTTCTACATTTTCAAGTCGGCTGAATATCAGTTGAATATTTGAAGACCAATATTTTTGTCAAGTCAGAGCATTGAAGGCCGACTCAAATGGATTCTTTATTTACAATATTTATTCTACAAGCAAATTGATTATGAAGCTGGTCTATTAACCCGGATTTTCTAGAAGGAGGAAATGACAAGGACTTAAGGATGATCAGGTGCCGATTTACAAGAATTCTTAACCCGGAGCACAACCTGTCAAATTTGTTTTTGTGTTTATTTTGTAACGTAAGTTTACCATGGATAAATCCAAGCTAAACTTGGGGGCTAATGTCGGGGATATACCCCGCGGCGTAACCCGGCTGAAAGTATAACCCGGCCAGACTTGGCGATTCACCGACGACCCGCACTGACCAGACGGTTTACAAGCAACCTAATTGAACATTATGATTCACTGGTAACCCGGCGGGCGGGACAGACGGATGACAAGGCCCAAGGCCCAGAAGGCCGGTTCATGTTATGGTGGGCCGGTTTAAGAGGAAAGGCGTGAGGAATATTTACCTTACAAGGAGTTAAGACCCGGACTTGTATCCGATTTGTATTAGAAGGTAGACTAGTCCTAATCCTAATAGGACTCCACATGTAACCCGCCCCTTTAACTTATATAAGGAGGGGCAAGACGCCCCAAGAGGGGGGGACAAGTTAGGTTTAGACAGACAACTCAATATCTCTCGAGATAGAGCTCCCTTGTAATCGTGATCATCATCATCAATATCAATGAAGCAGGACGTAGGCTTTTACCTCCACTGTGAGGGGCCGAACCTGGGTAAAACACCGCGTTTCTCATTCCACTCAACCCCTCTCAAGCTACCACATAGATGTGTTGGCCTCGCGACTAAGTCCTGACACTAAGGACATCTGCCGTGACAAAACCACGACAATCTCATTACCGGCAAGTCTCTTTACTCATTCCGTAATACATCATCCTGTAACTAACTCATTAGTTACAATGCTTGCAAGGCTTATAGTGATGTGTATTACCGAGTGGGCCCAGAGATACCTCTCCGACAATCGGAGTGACAAATCCTAATCTCGAAATACGCCGACTCAACAAGTACCTTCGGAGACACCTGTAGATCACCTTTATAATCACCCAGTTACGTTGTGACGTTTGGTAGCACACAAAGTGTTCCTCCGGTAAACAGAATAATCTCATAGTCATAGGAACATGTATAAGTCATGAAGAAAGCAATAGCAACATACTAAACGATCAAGTGCTAAGCTAACGGAATTGGTCATGTCAATCACATCATTCTTCTAATGATGTGATCCCGTTAATCAAATGACAACTCATGTATATGGCTAGGAAACTTAACCATCTTTGATTCAACGAGCTAGTCAAGTAGAGACATACTAGTGACACTTAGTTTGTCTATATATTCACACATATACTAAGTTTCCGGTTAATACAATTCTTGCATGAATAATAAACATTTATCATGATATAAGGAAATATAAATAACAACTTTATTATTGCCTCTAGGGCATATTTCCTTCATGCACCGCCCGGATCGCAGCGGGCCTGCCTCCGGACTCACTAGAGCCGGAGAGGAGGAGGAGGGGGAGCAACAGCCGATGCCGAAGCAGCAGTCGGAGCCCATGGAGAGGGCAGATTCAATGGAGGAGGACACGGCCGAGCTAGAGGAGGAGCCACAGCCGATTGTGGGCTTCGCCATGAAGGACACCATGGCGGAGTTTGAGCTCACCCAAGTGGCGGAGATGGCGGAGCAGACCGCCATCCTAGAGTCCATCGAGGATGAGGCATATGTGAAGGCCAACCGGCAGTTCATCCGACAAAAACGATTAGGGACCTATGCGCTTTTCACCGAACTGGAGGTGGAGTAGGAGGCGAATGCTGACACGGAGGAGCCGGAGTTGCGGTTGCCGTTCATGTACCCGGAGTCGGGCACGGAGATCATGGACATCTCCGAAGAAGAGTAGGGTAGGGTAGGTTTTAGTTGATCTACATAGTATGTAGGGTTTTCCTCTTTTATATGGTTTGTATGGATTTAAGATTTCAAGTATGAGATATTCAGATACAGAGAAAAAAATTGAGAAATGTCTGATCACTGCCCGCAGGCGTGTCCGAACACATCTACGGGTGTTTGAGGCGCCGGATATGATGTCCACGGATGTAGATGCTCTTAGGGCTTTAGCAAAACTGTTGCCAATATTTTCATGTTTCTGCATCCTAGGACGTGCTTCTATCGTAGTCTGCCGCACCTGTTCCACGCCCCTCTCACCACGTAGCACTATCTGGAATTAAGATATCGGTGACCTTTCCCTCGCTGAAGTTAAGTTTTCGTTTTAATTTGCAAGCCTTAGTAAAGGCCGCTCATCATTGCCCAGCAGGTACTTTATTGAAAGCCTCCAATCTAAGTATCATCCCATGTTGTTTGTTGATTACCGTATCTTTTGAAGCCAACGCCGATGTACTCCATGCGATGTCAGTCTTGAGTTCAGGGTAACCAGGGCTGCTTGATCCCCAACTGTCCTACTCGTTTAAAGCACTCCTTGACTGAAGCCTCAGGTACTCCCACCATCAAAGCTGTGGCCGTCGGCTCTCTGACTCGGAGCATCTCCAACACACGCGCTTTGTCTCAGGGCAGTATAGTTCTTTTACAATGTCAAAATAGTCTTTTTACACGTGAGAGTGATGAAGAGATTTTTCAGATGCATAAAAACACGGCGCCCAATTCGGCGGGTCTACGTGCAGCAGCCCGCGCTCATAATCTGGCGCCCCAAATTTACAGCCCAGCAGCCCGTGCGCTAAAGTTTTGTGTGCGTGCTTTGTTTTACAGAGTTTTCTGGAGTGATGTTTTTTGTCTCCGATGCACAAAAACATTGGTTTTTAATGTGTGGGGCATTTTTTAGGTGTCTGTTGGAGATGCTCTTATGCATAGTCCCACACATTATCTGCTCTCTGAATTGTGTGCAATGCCGTATCGATTCGCGCAGAATTGGTGCTGAGTATATCACGGATCACAATCGAAGACATGATGGCCGTAGGCTGCAGCGTTGTCGACAATGTCGACCGCAGTGGGGAAGAGCGCCGGAGTGCTCGCCCGGTCCCTCCCAGCGACGCCGTGGATGCCAAACCAATGCTTTGGCATCCAGTTCTCTTTTCCCCTTTGGTCGTGTCATGTCATTTGACAAGTCGTTTAACCAGCCGTGCGTGCGTGCGTGCGTGCGTAGGTGCGCTCCTGCTTCACTTTAGTTTGTCACGCCTTTATATATTCGGTGCTGCAAAATTCTGTCTTTAGCTCTTTGCCTCATGCAAGTGGAACAAAAACCAGCTTGGGTAGAAAGATATCCACGGAAGGAGAAACAACACGAGGAGTGGGAAAACAGATTCGCAACAAAGGTTGTTGCCATTTTCCGTTTCTGCTGTTCTGAAACATGCTAGGGTCCACAACTAAACTAACAAGTACTCATCCCTCTGTTTATAAACATAGGATGTTATAACTTTTTTCTTAATCAGATGCATACAGACTAGTGTGCGTTTGGTTCACTCATTTCAGTTTGTATGTAGACATATAGTCGATACTGAAATATTCAAAACATATTATATTTGTATACAGTGAAAGTATACCATGATTGATGCAGCTCTGAAATATCAGAATGTACATGCATCTGAGTCACTGGGATTACGATTAATTACGCGCACAAATTCTTCAAGGAGAAGAAGAACAAAATCACAACAGCACTCTCTCTCGAATCTACAACGACGCCAAAGACGCCAGAAAACCTGCCAGCTTCGTCACACATCTCGTACCCTGTATATAGATTGGGCGTAATCTTGGTGTGCTCCCCGGTATTTGGTGCAAGGTTATTAAACGAAATACCGATGAGCACATGAAAAATACTACCCCGGTCTAAGCAGGTCGGCGTGTCTGCTAACGCACGGGCGGCTCAATTATAGTGTTCTTGCTTGTTAATGGCCGCGCCGCCGCTCAACTCGCTGTGATCTTGTCACCGTGAGAAGGACGCGGGCTCGCGGCGAGGCTGCGGCCGCTGCTCTGCTTGCGCCACTTCCACGAGTCGGCCGGCGTGCTGGGCAGCGGCGGCACGGCGGGGCGGCGGCACAGCCCGAACGGCCACCCCTCGCAGTCCCGGAAGCCGTCCCACGTCGCTGGCGGGTCCATGTCCGTCAGCGACGCCACGGTCGCCGCCCGGCTCGTGCTGCGGGTGAAGAAGCTCTTCACCGAGAAGTACGCCTCGCTCTCCACGTCGCCGGCGTCGCTGCCCGCCTCCGCCTCTCCCTTCTCCTCCCCCGCCACGACGTGCTTCTCAGGGCTCGAGACCTTCTCCAGAACGCTTCTCGGGTCGAGCGGGGTGAAGAACCAGATGAAGGCGCCCGACAGGGCCGCCGAGTCCACGCTGCACCTCGACTCCTTCCTCAGCTGCCGGTTCCTAATCTCGTTGAGTATCACCTGCACCATCAACGCAAGACATATCACTCTGCTGTTACTCATGACCTCCCCAAGTAAATCGATCAAGAACATGACTGTAGCATGCTCTGCCGCTACCTGTTTCGTGTCGAGCATGTCATCATCGTCGTCGTCGCTGTCGTCGCCGGAGCTCCACCCGGCGCCGGCGATCCCGATGCAGGGGACATGGCAGTGCGCGTAGGTCTCCCGGATGAGGCAGGAGAGGGACTTGCAGTGGTTAGCGGCCGGGGGCCTGGGGCTGGGGTGGCGGTCGTGCGCCAAGCAAGGCATTGCTCCAGCCAACTGCAAGGGATCGATCGATCTGGTGCAGTTGCTTGTGCAACGCTCATGCGATCGGCGCTGGTTACTTGTGTATGTGATCTCTGGCGAGGAACGAGCGAGCTCTGCGTATAAATGGGGGATCTTGTCGCGGTGGCCGGCGGATGGGTTTTTCTTGGGCTGAGCGGGGATGGATGTGGACGCGCATGACAGGCGCCCCGCAACTTAAAAGGAGAGTAGGCTCTCGATTGTATCCGAGGTCCGTAGCTAGATGGAGGGTTTATAATCCTTTGGGTTCAAGGCTAAGTAAGAACCAAATATTCGAGCTCGACAGTGTACTAGAAATTGACCAAGTTTCTTTTAAGTTTTTTCTCAATTTGGATGCAATCATATAATTTTTGTAGGACTCCAGTAGGGAGAGAACGTGTCCTCCCTGGGGTCTCTGTCGCGAACGATCGTTGTTTCCGGGAGACTTGTTCGAGCTAACGGGGTCACAAGAGAGCTTTCCCTCCAAAAAAACTCTCAAGGAACATTTCTGGAATTTGTCATGTTTTTAACACAATGGAATTGTCATATGCTATAACAGAGATATTTCACAATATAACAGAGAAATTTGTTATTGCCAAGAAAAAAAATCAATGCCATGCTATAGTAGAAAAAAAGAGGAGCCTTGGCGTAGTGGTAAAGCTGCTGCCTTGTGACAATGAGGTCGGAGGTTCAAGTCCTGGAAACAGCCTCTTGCAGAAATATAGGGAAGGCTACATACAATAGACCCAAAGTGGTCAGACCCATCTCCGGACCCTCCGCAAATGGGAGCTACATGCACCGGTCTGCCCTTTTATTCTATAGTCGAAAGAATTGTCATACAACAACGAAGAAAATTGTCATGTGTTTTCGGAATTTGCCATTCTGTAGTAGAAAGAAGTGGTGGGCTAAGAGAAAGGGAAGTTCCCCACATATCCAGGAATTGCCATGTTGCACCATGGCGAATTGCCATGATACGCAGAGAAGTTGCCATACATGCTTTTAGTAGTTGTCATGCTATATCATAGGGAAGTATCATGATACACATGGGGTCGTTCGCTCAGGATGTTGTATGGGAGGTACTGGTTGTGTCACCCCCTCGAGAGGGTGCATGGGAGCGAATGGTGTGTCCATAGGAATTGCCACATGTCATCCCTTTAAGATTCGAAAGCATGGTCAAACATACGGGAGAGTGTTCCCTCAAAAAACCACGCTCAAGGGACGTTGACTCAATAAGATTTCCTTATTTTATCCCACCAAAAATTGCTTCTCTCTTGTGCTCCATCTTCTTCATGACTGGCGATGTGTATCCAGTACCAAGAATAAGCGATCTAGAAACATGATGAAGACTGCTCCCACCTGGTCGACTCGTCTCTCATGTTGCTCTCGTTGGCGACCAAACCCTAGCCGCTCTATCCCGCCTCCCCTTTCTCCCTTCCCCGCCACCACCCAAAGGAACGCGTCGGTTCGCCACATTGCTTCTGGTGAAGGTGGTAATGAGGACATGATGCCCCGTTCCATCACAGGGAGCTTCGGAAGACAGAGTGGCGGCCTTAGTTGTGAAGGCGACGTTGACCTATTTGAGTGGGTGGCGACCATGTGGGAAATATTAGAGCGTGGAGCTTAGACATCATGGGTTGCTCCAGCGGCTCCCTCAGATCTGATTTGGTGCCGCCATCCTCGATGTTCGTCCTCCCTTGCTCGATCTACATCATGTAACTATGTGGTTCCGGATCTGGAAGGCTTCGAGGGTATGCCGACATGACTTGTGGATTGTAGGAAACCCCTGGTCGACTTTGTGTTGACCTCGACAATGGTGGGGCTCCTACTTCACGACTGTTGTATCCTAGTAGGTTGATGACTTCATTAATTTAAAAGTGGGCTCAATATGCATTTTCGCTACAAAACAAAAAGTAGAGGTGGGCGCTCATTCAAACAAAAATGTCTGTGATGTGTCGCCTAGGGAAAGTGAGGGAAAAATAAACAAAGGCCAAGCATTTAAGGGTTAGAACGTAAGGGTGCTACCTAGTTGGAGCTAGAGTTTAGAAGAATTGCTTGATCTGATGGCGGACACACTCCAAGGTTGGTTTGAGTAAGTGTGGAGTGCGGTGGCAAACGTAGGAGCGGAAAAGAAATAAA